ATTTACTTAAATAAAGTATATCTATAAAAAGTATAAACAGTATAAAAAGTATAAACAGTATATATATATATATGTGTTTTCAGCCTGTCCAAATCTATATTTCTGCTTTTTCATGTCTCTCTCTCTCTACACACACACACACACATATGTGCACACACATACACACACATAAAAATAACGTATAAACAGTAAATATACACACACACACACACACACACACACACATATATATATATATATATATATATATATATATATATATATTTCATTTTTCGTTTTTCACCTTTTGAAAGTGATGTCTGAAGATCCAGGGTACTTTAAGTGATGTCTGAAGATCCAGGTGTCTCTGGTGAAATAAACTATTACAATGGAGCCTTAAAGTCGTCTGTTTTCTTAATATATATATATATATATATATATATATATATATATATATATATATTTTTTCAGTCTGTTCTAATGTATATCTTTCATTTTTCATCTTACTTTCTCTACACACACGCACACACACATATATATGCACACACATATATGCACTCACACATACTCATACACGCATACACGCATACACGCACACACACACACACATATATATATCTTGCGTACGCACGGAATGAAAATATGACACAAGGTCTTTTTTTTCTAAATACACGATTCTTCGTCTTTGCTGCAGACATCAGGACGTAATTCTCATGCTATTGCTATTAGTGATGGTCGTATTCACTGTATTAATCGAAATAGTAATTTGCGAGACGATCTCGTTAGTTATTAGTCCACGACAAGTGCACCGTATTTTATTTGGCATATTCATCTGTATAATCGACATGACAATGTCTTTCTGCCATGTTGGCTTTTGCTCCACCCACCTGGTTTCCTTGTTGAACCCCTTTTTTTTTAATCATGTCCCAAGCAAGGCAAAAGAAAAAAAAAGAATACCACAAAAAGGCAAAGGGTTGCTGCGAGTGAATGAAACTTACTAAACTTTAAGCCAGTTAAGTACCGTACGTGATACACACTTGGTCGACCACATATCGAAAAATACGTGACTGTTGAGGCAGATTTTTTTCTGCTGTAGGTTGCCACTTCTTGCTATGGTAGACTGGTTGCCAACCAAGCCTAAAGAATCCAGTCTGTCCTGCTATTCAACCCATAGCTGCGGGGGGGGGAGAAGAGATGGATTCATGCCTTTCCCAAGGATATTTGTGGTAGTGAATCTAACGAACTCAACTGGAATTTGAACTCGGCTCTCCGATATCCATAGCACCACATGGCACATCCAAGCGGGGACAAGGCAATAAGAGAAAAGATTTCAAGAAGGAAGATGACGATAGACGTAGAATTTGGATTTTTTAAGATCGTATTTGGCAGGAAAGGAAGAAGACGGAAGAGAGTTCCACAAGGTTGATGTGGCCTGTTAGGGACAGAAAGAAAGACACTTGAAGAAGAATGTAGGTTAAACAAGTGTATTGAAATAACAGAATATATATATACAGAATGTTATTAGTTAGCAAATAGAAGTGTCCGTCCAAAATGTCAGGTTACACTGCGTCCCGACTGCCTCCGCCGAGGAAGTCTCGCAAGTTAGTATTTATGAAGAAGGAAGAGTTCATTTTAATGTAGATAGGTCATCATAACAAAATGAAAAACAGCTCTTAGAGTCATTGAACAAAATCCTCGTCACCAAGTTGTTGTGTCCTGTTAAGGGCCAGAAAGAAAGATACGGAATTAATAAGGTAGGTTGAACAGGTTTATTGAAATAAGAGAACATATATACAAAATAAGAGTGTTATTAGTCAGCAGATAGAAGTGTTTGTCCGAACTGTCAGGTTACACTGCGTCCCGACTGCCTCCTTAGGAAGTCTCGCAGGTTAGTATTTGCAAGGAGGAAGATTTCTTTCTAATGTAGATAGGTCACCATAACACCATCTCAGTCTGTTAATTATCTATCTATCTATCTATCTATCTATCTATCTATCTATCTAAGTCTGTTAATTATCTATCTATTTATCCATCTATCTATCCATCTATCTATCTATCTGTTGCGTCCTGTTAGGAGCCAGAAAGAAAGGTACGTAAAGAAGAAGTTAGGTTGAACAAGTATATTGAAATAACAGAACATATATACAAAATAAGAGTGTTATTAGTCAGCAGATAGGAGTGTTTGTTCAAACGGTCACGTTACACTGCGTCCCGACTGCCTCCGCCTAGGAAGTCTCGCAGGTTAGTATTTATGAAGGAGGAAGAGTTCATTCTCATGTAGATAGTTCACCATAACAGGTGCAAAATAAGAAACTATTAGAATAGAACTTACAGTTCTTCTTTTACTTCTGTGTGCGACGTCCCTTCAGAACATTGGCGATCATGGCCCTCCACAACTTTCTATCTAGTGTCGCTCTGTTTTTCTCCCTTTGCTGAGGCACCCCCTCCGTTCCGCCATTCATTCACACAGGCTCGTCAGGTAAGTGGCTTGCTGTCTTCCCCTATCTCTCTTGCCCTCAATATTCCCTGTGAGGATTAAGTTTTCCAAGCCCTCCTTCCTCATTTTGCGTCCCAGGAATTTCAGCTGTCGTTTTCTGATAAGTGTTCTTTCCGTTGCCATTTTCTTTAAGACTTCCTTGTTGCTTACTTGCTCCGTCCATAGAATTCTCAGTATCCTTTTGTAGATCTATATTTTTGCTAATTCTAGTTTTTTTCCTTCTTCCTAATCTTTGAGGAAATTGTCCAGCATTGACTGTCATATAAGAGAATGAATACCTCGTAGTAATCCAGCACTCTTCTTTGTTTCTAACGAAATTTTTCCGTTTCGCATCACCTTTGCTTTTGGAATACCTTTTCCGTTAGCCCAATGCTTCTTCGGATCTCGGTACCACATTTCCTATCCTGTCTTAAAACGTTTCCGTTATATTCGAATTTCTGCACCTGCTTGGTGTTTAAAGCTCCAATTTGTAACTAGCATATCAGGCTTTTTCGCTTGCTAATAACCACAGTTTCTGTCTTCTGGCAGTTGATAGTCCTTTTGTCTCGCTTTCTTCTACCACAATATCTAAGACGTCTTTTAGATTTCTTTCTGTTATGGTCCAAAGGTCCTTGTACCACGGTGATGGTCCAAGGTAGAACCAATAAAGAAGAACTCGAACACGGATATGGAATAACACAGATATATTACAAACAGAAATATATACAGAGAAGTAGAAAGTGTTAGTACAAACAATCAGGTTTAGTAGTAATTGCCTGAACGCGACTCTGTTTCGGACTGCCTCTGACTCGACTGACTGATTCACGCGCTCGCTCTGACTGACAGACTCCTGACGGACTTCACTCTAGACTTCAGACTGAACAATATTTAGTCACCCTCACGAGGGTATCATGTGGCACAAGGCTGGGATCTCCGAGCCCGTGGGTTCGGCCAAAAATATGCCCTTTGGATCCGTATAAACGGGTTCAGGGTCGGTTACCTCCCCGAAAGAGACTCCGCCCTTCGGCGTAGCCTCGTTCGGGTTCCTCCCCGCCCGAAGGCAGAGAGTTCAACCGATCAGCCGATCAGCCGGTCGCCCGACTTCGGACTGAACGTTATTTAGTCACCCCTCCACGAGAGCATCATGTGGCACAAGGCCGGTTTAACGTGGGATCTCCGAGCCCGTGGGCTCGGGCAAAAACATGCCCTTTGGATCCGTATAAACGGGTTCAGGGATGGTTTACCTTCCCGAAAGAGACTCCGCCCTTCGGCGTAGCCTCGTTTGGGTTCCTCCCCGCCCGAAAGCACAGTTCAACCGATCAGCCGGTCGCCCGACTTCAGGCTGACTTCGGACTGAACCCCCTGCTTCCTCTTGAAGCGCAGTAATTATTACGTATAGAATAGTCCATTATGTTATTATGGGTAAGGTCCCATAACACTTTCCAAGTCGACCATCAACACAGTGTCATCTGCGTATCTTATATTGTTAAGATTATTATATTAAATCTTGTTAGGGTCTCCAGTTTTCTTAGGATGGCGTCGCTGTAGAGGTTGAAAAAATCTGGCGTGACGTCCTTTTCTGTTTTTGTCTGGATACTCAGTTTATGGTTTGGTCCCAGTTTAACTTCCTGATTATTCTAACATCTCCAAATAGAGCTAATTTTCCCAGCAGTTGAAATAAATCCTTGTGCCATACCTTGTCAAAAACTGACAGTTACATCTAGCAATCTCAACAGCAAAATGATGAGACCTAATTGGCAATCTAGTACTGCGTTTAAATTTGTGAAAAGCTCATCAGAACAGTTGTCATGGGAATATTCATAGAAAAGACACTGAGAAGCTATGTCAAAGAGAATGTAGCTGAGTTGCCAGGCTAGGACAGATAACATTGCAGATACTTCTTTGGAAATTGTCAAGATTCTCTAGGTACCTAGCATGCAGCAATAATCATTGTACGGACAAATGCTAGACTTTTTCTTCTTTTTTTTAATAATCTTTTTTTTTTAATAATCAATTCACCAACGAGCAAGGCGACAATGCCACTAAGACGCAAGGGATTTACTGGGAGTGAAAGAGAATGAGCAGACTAAAGAAGGAATCAAAAACCAATCCTAAATAGGAAACAATGGATAAGCCACGATTCCTGTTCAAAGGATCGGAGAGGAGTGTGAACCGGGCGATAAACGAACCTGTCTACTCCTATTGAAAGGTGCAGGCTTATTTATTTTAAATTACTGGTGTAATAGGATTTTCTGTTATTTCTCAAATTCTGAAAAAAAAATGGTATTTGTAATTAGGAATTAGGAATTTAATTTACAGAAAATGTCCGTTCACCGATTAAATCTCATTTGCCGTGAGAGTTCCCGCCCATTTAATTACTGGGAGGGAGAAAAAAATACACTTCTCATTTTAGCACGACATTCATCATCACATTATTTTTAAATTAAAATTTTAGACCGACCTTGGGTAATTGTCGTCTATTATTATAAAAGCCAGATAGTTAAGTTGATCCTATCTCTTAATATTTTGTTTATTTTCTGAAAGGCATAGCAATATTGGCCCACATTTAACTGCCATATTGGAGATTAGATATTACATAGCAGTTCTGTACTCTTTTATTTGTTTCTAACAACATTTTCCTATCTCTTTATACCTTGCTTAGTTTTTAGTAGACATCGTTCGCTTTTCCTATGCATCTTCGGATTTCTCTGTCACATTGTTCGTAGTCTGTTATTACACAACCCAGATAGTTAAGTGCATGTAGCTGGTTGATGTTAACATTCTCAATACGTAGCTAATATCTTGACTTATTTCTTTTGCCGATAACCATGCTGCCTAACAATTAATAGTTAGTCCTTTCTTCTTGCTTTCCATTGCAACCTTATCGTAGACTTCTTTCAGTTTTCATTCCGAGTCTGTTATCAGATTACGTCCGGCGATAATATAAGCTGATCCAGTAATGGATGTAGATAGGTTGGTGTCACAGTAAGTTTTTATTGTTGGATTTCAATTCAGTGAAAAAATGCGACGTAATTATTCGTTCACGCTTGTTTCAAGTCGCCAAGAGAAAGTTTTTTTATAATTGTACATGCTGATAGGTCATTGAACGTTTCTTCATAAGCTAAACGGCTCATGTTATCATTATTGTATTATGGGTAACTCGATATGAATTGCTCCCCTTGGACTAGCCTCGTTCTGGCCCCTGGACAGACACGCATGCGGAAATCTTAGGTCCACAGAGTAAAGCAAGTCGGCTAAGGTGGTAAGACATAATACAGCGAATAAACTCTCATTGTATATATTGAATATTTGAGGTGTGTTGTTGGTCAAGATTCAGCTCATTTCAACCCAAGTAAGGACACAAGAAGTTACAGGGAGGAAAAGAGAATGAGAAAGCTTTAGAAGAAACCGGAAACCCAATTCTAACAAGGAAACAAAGGATAAACCACTACTCCTGTTTAAAAAAAAAACCCGGGGAGTTTTCCGGCCTGGATGTTCATGAAATTTCGTAGAAAATCTGTTTTCCCCAGTAGGAATCGAACCTACATCCTATGAGGAAACAGCATTAAGTCTCGCGTGCTATAACCATTCAGACACAGAAAACTTCCGGAGAACGCATATTTTCTACGAAATTTCTCGAACATTCAGGTCAGTAAAGGTAATTAATATTGTTTAAGTAAAGAACAAAGCATTTACTTAAATAAGTGTATCCCTAAAAAATAACGTATAAACAGAAAAATATACTAAATAATTGTCGGATTTAATCAATTTCTACGATATATATATATATATATATATATATATATATATATATATATATATATATATATATATTAAATATTAAAACTTTAACTAAGAAAGATTACCCTTATAAAAATAAATTGCATTCATAAATTAGATTTAAAAGATGTTACCGTAACTATTTTTTACAATATTAAAAAAGTACGATTGGTCGGGTAAACAAACTGTTATACTTTAAAAATTTTTTTTTAATATGTTCTCTATAAATGTGTTAATAAATATAGTATTTAACTTATATTAAAACCCTAAACTTTTTGTTTAAAAAAAAAATATATTTAAATTGATAGCTAACATCAAATTAATTAGGTTTTTTTAGACATCTAAATTACTATCAAGCATTAAAATCTATTCTTTACATAAATTGCTAAAACCCAATTACAGTCTCTTTACTTCCCTCTCCTTCTTCTTTCTTTTTCCTTTTTCTTTTCTCCTTTCTCCCCTCCCATTTCAATATATCACTTCCGTTAAGTTAACCGTCTAAATAGGTGAAGGTCTGGTCACTCCTCCTCCCCCAATACTAAGTATGATAGAGAGACATATGAAATTAATCCCTCCCTAAACTCTACCATGTCTCTTTAACTATCCCTTTTACACTCTCTGTTAAATTACAAAAACTTACACTACCCATCAATTTTCATTTCATTTTTCGATTCATTTCATTTTTGGAAGTGCTATCTGATGATCCGGCGTCCTTTAAAAGGGCTCTGGTGGAAATAAATTATTATAATGGTACCTTAAAATTGGTCTGTTTTTTTTTATATATATATATATATATATATATATATATATATATATATATATATTTTATTCATTTATTAGCACTAGCTCTCAATGTTCAGTATTATATATATATATATATTATAAAAGACGTTTTATATTTATACATTATTTTTATAGATACATATATTTAAGTAAATGCTCTGTTTATAATAAACATTTACTTAAATATTTGTATCTATAAAAAGAATGTATAAACATAAAAATGTCTTAAAATAATTGTCGGACTTTGTCCATTTCATAATGTGTGACGTCATTTGTTTACATTTGGATACGCATCGAGCAGATATGAATGTACGTGAGAGATTCATGGAAGATTGAAGTTTGAAAACAGTAAAAATCGATGTTGCTAGCCGAAACGCTCCTCTGTGGCTCAATTGGTAAAAGCACGTCAGGCTATATGACGGTTCCGTATAGGATACAGGTTCGATTCCTGTCGCAGAGCGAATATTTTCTATGAAAATTTCTCGGACATTCAGGCCGGTAAATGTTATTTAATACTGTTTATTATAAACAGAGCATTTACTTAAATATTTTAATCTATAAAAAGAATGTATAAACAAAAATGTCTTAAAATAATTGTTGGACTTTGTCCATTTGATAATATATATATATATATATATATATATATATATATATATATATATATATATATATATATATATATATATATATATATATATATATATATATATATATATATATATATATATATATTTGATCAATAGATTGTGAGTTTATATTTCTTTTCGAAAGTTTGTCTTGTCCGACAAGAAAAAATAGATAAAATAAACTAAACAAAAGACTATTGCGTGAAAAGGTGATACTTTAAAATACCGACATCACGCGTGGAGACACGATATCTGAAAAACAAGGAAACCAATATAGCACAGCTAAGATAAACTCTTGTGATAAAGTCTCATGAAAGCCGAATGTACTCAGACATCGGACAATTTATTGATTAAAATATTCACGGGAAACCTAAAGAAAATAGTATAGAAATAACGAAAAGAAAAAGCGTCCTTAACAAACCTACTTATATATATATATACCTACATTATTTACATTATTCGGACTATTATCCTCATCTTTGTCGCCATATTTATCACAACGTTTCGGCCGTTGTACGCTCCGGCCTTCTTCAGATGGTTGGAATGTCGAACTGAACCTTTTATTTCGCTTACTGGGGTATACTGTTCTAGTTCCACGTGCCATGTTTAACGGATGTCAGTTATCAGTTATCTCCTGTTAATTCTTCTCTCCAAGTTCTCCACTGCCTTAACTGAACTCACACTCTTTTGGTTTGTCACTGGATCTAACCAACGCCTTTATCCACTGTGCCATGTGTCCTTGAGGACATCTGGGTATGAATTTCTGGGTATTATAAACCTAATGTCTTCAGCAACATTTTTTACCAGTGCTCATATTGCAATTCTGCTGTTATCATTCTATGTTTTACCAGAGCTCATATTACAACTTTTTGTTGTTATCATTGCTTTTCTCTGGCACTCCTTATTACTGGTTCCCATATTGTATTTATTTCTATGCTTGGTCGGCTCAGGAGATTTTTGTGGCCTAGCATATGTGCTGATTCCTTAAGTTTACGAATTTTCCAATGATGTTCTTTGTCTATGAGCTCAACATGATCCCACAGAGGGCGGTGATCTCCCTTCTCTCTCCATATGTGGTCAGTCACGCCTCGTGTTACAGCTTTCTGGTGTTCTTGAAGCCTTACCTTAAGGGGACGACCTGTCTCTCCTTTATATTCCTGCATGGGATAGCGTACACACAGTCTTTAGTCATGTTCTCCTCTATGGGGGTGGTCTTACCCGGGAGAGATAACTGCGAAGTGTCGTCAAGCTTTTGAAGGTTGTCCTGATGTTATATGGACCGCAGATCCTTTGTATTTTCTCTGATAACCCATTCACATAAAGGCAGGCAGACTGTTTCCTACATACCTACATCCATACATAAATACGGTCTCCAAGAGAGCAAATCGTTGCGCTTTCTTGAACTCACGTTTTCCGCTGACTTGAAGTGGAGTGGTTATAAGGAAGCCATTGTTAGGTCTGTTGCTAAGAAGATTTGTTGACTGTGTCGTACCAGACAATTTTTCTAATCAGAATCCATCTTGTACAGTTATAAATCTACCTACGCTTCTAAATCATTTCAAATCAGCGCAGTTTCCCATAGGGCTATTTTCTTGACCTATGCTATTTCTTATCTTCATCGACAGCCTTCTTGATGGGATCAGTTCCAAACCAGGCATTTATGCTGATAACACAACTATTTACACCTGTCTTAATGGCCAGTTTGTTAGGTACGACTGTGCAAAACTGGCAGCTGTGATCGAAATTTACCTCGAACATATTGTTTACTAGGTTAAGAAATGATTGTAAATTCTAACGCTCCCCAATACAAAACTAGTCTCCTTTAAACTTCATAGAGAATCATTTTGCATCCCCACCATCAGCATGGCTGATGCTAAACTTTAGGAGAGCCCTTATTGCAGCTTTTTGGTCTCACGTTTTAAACTGACGAGATTATATTGAAGCAATTGCTCAGTCTGTTGCTTAGAAGATTTGTTCACTGTATCGTCTCAGACAATTTTGTTTAGTCAGAATCCATTTATAAATCTACCATTTGTCTGTGCATTGAATATTGCTTCCATATCTAGTATGGTGCTCCGGTTATATACCTCGAGATTTTCTTTCTTTCTTTCTTTCTTTCTTTGTCTATTCATATCAATATATGTATGGCAGTCTGCTCATTATCTATCTATCTATGTCTATTCATATCAATCTATCTATGACAGTATTCTCATTATCTATCTATCTATCTATCTATCTATCTATCTATCTATCTATGGCAGTATTCTCATTATCTATCTATCTATCTATCTATCTATCTATCTATCTATCTATCTATGGCAGTATTCTCATTATCTATCTATCTATCTATCTATGAAAAAAGGAAGACTTATCTTTTTTATCTTTTTTGATAGTGGCTATTAACATATATAGTGTATCTGAAATTTTTGCACACCCACACACACACATATATATATATATATAATAGAATGGATAATAGCTGGACACTCGTATTCAAGGATAGCCGTCTACTAGGGCGGCTAACCAATCCCTATCGCAGACGCTCGTTCAGGCACATTTGTGTTTGTTCAACACCCACAGAGCCCACCTGTGGTTTATACTGCAACTATGCTGAGTTGGGTATTTGTGTGTGTGTGTGTGTGTGTGTGTGTGTGTGTGTGTGTGTGTGTGGACTTATTGTTTCAAGGAAAGAGGTTTGCTATGGCTCTAGCTAGTTTTTTTGGTGTGGCGAGATGGAGGATAGCTGCCTATTCCTGAAATGATGTGACGCGTAACAGATTTGTCGGTCTTACGGAGACCGTAAATGCAACACTCACCTATAAACTAGCTAAGACCATAGCAAATATATATATATATATATATATATATATATATATATATATATATATATATATATATATATATAAAGTCTAACATAAGCCTCAGTGTTGACTTCTATTCACTCTATATTTACATACGCTCTATCTCTGATATTGAGCACTTTACCCCACAAATATAGCACATCTTAAGACTATATTTCTTTATATATATATATATATATATATATATATATATATGTGTGTGTGTGTGTTTGTTTGTTTGTATGTTTTGACTATTTGTATATCCAAAGCTGAAATCGTTCAAGGAAAAGTAGTTTTCTCTCTGCGCCTGCGCTGTGTGACGTAGATCAAACGGGCAGAGAAAAAATATCAAATCTTTCTAACAGAAGAATTCCTCTTCGAGTCAGCGGCTTCAAACATCACTTTCATTTAATCTTTGCTGTATTTGGCTTTTGAAGTTTTGCAATTAATTAATGAATAAAAATCAGGTAATTCCTGCTTTTTGTGATTCACACCTGAAAACCTGATTAATTTTGTTTTTCCAGCAAAAATCTTAGGTAATTTTATTCATTCGAAATAATATGTTGGTATTATACTAATCCGTTTAGACGCAACAGTTATAGAAACAATACGAGGCAAAGATCTATTTGAACTGCTATGAAAACTTGGTTTATTCGGGAAAGACTCGGGCCATTTAATGGGCTGTGGGCGGATAAAAAAGGAATTGAGTAAGAGAATAAAAATAGTGATAGGCTTAATATAAGGATACCTTTTCTCTTCTTCCACCCCTCTTTTTCTTCTTCTTCTTTGTACCCTGTCCCTTGAAGATGTTGGCGATCATCGTCCTTCACCATTTCCTATCTTTTCTCGCTGTTAGGTTTGTATCATCAAGTTCTTGGAGGTTTGCACATCTCCATGTGGATAGACTTTTCCTCACATTCACGTTTAAGCTGGCACCTTTAATTTCCTCATTTTATCTTTGATATGTCCCGAAGTAGCAAAGTGGTTGTTGACTACTGTAAACGGGTAGGACAATCTAGCAGGTAACCGTAATGGACTGGTCCTCGTCGTACTGGTAGGCAACAGGCGTAGGCAATAGGCGTAGGTGATGTACTTCCACATCAGTCTGTATTTATGGCTGACACCAGCCAATCATATTACTGTGAAGGGGAACCCAGGTGTATGCATATTCATTACATCAATCTTCAATCCTGTCACTTTTGTTGTTCTACTGTCTTATCTACTTTTATTGAATATCATTTCTTTTTATAGAAGGGAACCATACTGTCATTAAAAGAGATTCATTTTCTCTTTTCAAATGTCCTCTGCGCAACCATTTCTATGTTATCATCTTTACAGTTTCGTTTGCTTTATTCTTGTCCTCTGCACATATTCGTTTTTTTTTTCGATTTGGTGTCTTTTGATTAAATATTAATTCTCCAGCTCGTTTTAATTCTAACGTTTGCCTGTTGCAATCAATCTTTCATTACTCTGTCTTGTATTTTATTTCACGTCATTTGATAGCCGAGTTTATAAAAATTCTATACTAACGAGTTCTTTCCTCTCTCTTTCTCCTATACAATCTATCAACGCAATCCCTATGGATTTCCCATTGCCTTTATTATGGTTTTAAATTCAAAATTGTCCTTCTGCTAGCCTGATTGTTACCACATTCTTTTTTCGTATGCAATACTCCTTCAGGACGTAGGTGATTATGAATTTCTGGAGATTCCTTTTCTTTAATATATTGTGAATGTATTCTTAGCAAGTATAGTAGAATGGTTTCCCATTGCCTTTTGAAATCAAATTTTTCCTTCTTCTAGATTGGCTTCTACTCAATGCTAGATAAACCAGTCTACGCTGATATTTAACTCACAGCCAAGGTGGGATGGTGGTTAAAAAACGGATTCATGTTCCTAAGGAAATTGATGCGAAAGTGAATGCAACAAATTAGGCAGTAATTTGAACTCGGCTCGTCGATTCCACTATCCTGCTCTGATAACGGCTACACAATCCAGAAATTATTTATATCGACTTGGTCACCTCGTAATGGTTAGCAAGTTTGTCTCACTAGAACAATTACGGCTGAGTAGTGAGTTCGGTCCTCACTGGGCGTCCCATACTTTCGGTCTTGTTCCACATCTAAGCAACGCTTGGAAAATCACTATTTGTATCGACTTCAGAGAAAAGAAAACACAACATGTTAGTACTGGAAATCACATTTAAAAAATAAATCTTTCAGACCATCTTTAGAATCTTAAAGAATCTCTCCTTTTAACATCATAATTGTTTCCTTTCTTGTTCTCTCTCCTTAATAATGTAACTCCTTGCGTCTTAGTGGATTTATTGCCTTATTGGGGTGAAATGATTACTAATAATCTTAAACTGTTTCTTCACATTACAATCATTGAACGATGTTTACTGTGATCTTTGCCCACGTTCCTGTAACAATTATTAATTTATGGCTACGCGCATGTAATTGATACAAATGTTATGACTAAAACTAGAATTTTTACGGCTTATCAACCCATTGCAGGTTACTTAAAGCTAGAAAATATTTTTAGATTGTAAGAATTTTTTTTGGCGACAATAATGGTTTAGTAATATAAGTCTTACTATTTAATCCATAGCTTGAGGGAGAAGAGGTGGATCATACTTTTCGCCAGCGCGTAAGTGAATATAATAAACCCAACGGGAATTGGAACTTGATTCTTGGATTAACAATTTCGAGCCATTATCTATTACACCACCCGCACATCTGAGCTTGCTGACAAGACTCGATGTTGCTCAACTTCGGTGAGCGTACGGGAACGGGCGTTTCGACGTGATACAGCCATAAGCCTAAAGGATACGTGGCGGGGGGGTTAGGGGATGGGGGTTGGATCAGGTTCTTACTGAAGCGGTACAGAAACCGGCCATTTTTTCCCAGTATCTTTAGCGATGGTTTGTATGTACGAGATCCACTTTATGTTGAACTTAAGTCCCAAGAGCCGCTCAAGACACGGCACGTAACTGCACAGCAATCATAGTTTTTTCATTTTATAACTATTTTTGTAAGCAGTTGGTAGTCGTTACAAAGTAGACTTTCCCCCAATTCTCTTGATATAGCATAGTCGTGATAACCAGGAGAAAATTATAACTCACTTTGCAGCATCACAGTCTTCTTATTTTATTATTATTTTACTATCATCATTATTATTATTTTGTTATCATTATTATTATTACGATGAAGTACAGTCGAATTCATTACATTCACTTACATACTATTACCCTTGGGAAAGGTATGAATCCATCTGTTCTTCCCCTCACTAGCTATGAGTAAATAGCAGGGTAGACAGGGTTCTATAGCCTCGGGTGGCAACCGGTCTAGGAGAAGGAAAAGTCTGAATTCAAAACTGTATGTAGACACGGTGGAGTAATGGGTAGCCGCTCTGATTGAGGAATCGAAGAGGCGAGTTCGAATTCTAGTCGTATCCATTGCATTCACCTACGTGCTAAAATCCTTGGGAAATGTATGAATCCTCTTCTTCTTCCCCCAGCTATGGGTAAATAGCAGGACAGACTGGGTTCTAGGGCCTTGGATGGCAACTGGTCTACCGCAGAAAGAAATGGCAACCTACTGCGGGAAAACAATCTGCCTCGTCAGTCCTATATCGAAAGATACATGATCGCCTAAGCGTGTATCACGCATGGCACATAACTGATGTAGCCCCGGCGAAGCACATATTATTCGGTATGGAAAGGGTCGTTAGTTTAGGCTACAGTCGTTTCCTTTATTACTTGTCTTAACATTTTTTAAAATCATTTCAACTTAAGTAAGGCAATAAAGCCACTGGGACATAAGGGGTTACTGAATGTGAGAGAATATGAGAAAAATAAAACATTATTAATGATAACGATAAAAGAATAGGCATTAAGAAGACAGAAGATAACGATTGACGTTGCATTTAAATCTAACTGGATAGCAAGAAGCCGGAAGAGAGTTCCACAAGCAAGAAGTGCCACAGAAGAAACTGCTAGCATAGAACTTACGGGTCCATCTCGACTTGTCAGCTGTAAAATGATGGGAAAGTGATGCCAATCTAGTAAAATAAAGTCTAGATACTAAAAAGAAACGCTGAACAATTACCATGGAAATGTTTACAGAATGTTTACGGCGGTGGGAATGTGACTGAAGCCGAGATGCCAGGTCAGGGGTAATAACGTTGCATAGTAGTTTTTTTTCTTTCTTTAATTTTTCTAAAAAATGCGAAAAGAATAAAGATTGGATTGTCGTAGCAACGGCAGAATTTGCGTTATACTTTCTAATTAATATTGTTAATTAGAAAGTGCGAGAGTAGACGAAATGCTGGAAGTTTATCAGCGTTGAAAATGGAATGAGTTCGGGTAACGTGACACCAAGAACGGGCCATCATTCGCACCCATTCTTGGATCTGCCAACAGTCAGCCAACCAACCAAATGACTCAACTACCAAAAGCAACTGATCTCTTTTTTTTTTTTTTTACCAATTTGCTCTTACCAGAAATCGCCCACGCA